GCCACCTGTGTCGATTGCGGTGCGTGCATGCCCCACGGTCCGCGTGTTCACGGACGAGCGTTCTGAAACGGCGAGCCCCATACGCGCCGCGGCGGTGGCACGGCCGTACAATCGGATCTCCGCCGCGGGGATCGTTGAGAATGCGAGCGACCGTAAACAGGACGAGCGCAGCTGCCGCGCCCATTGTGTCCTCGGAGCGCATTGTCCAAGCTCCCGTCGCGTGGTTGGCGCGGTGATGGTGTAGGGGGGCACGAGCCGCCGGCCGAGAGCGGCGGCCGGAATGGGCCGGAGCGGGCGGAGTGGCCGTCCCGCGCCGTTCTTCCCCGCCGGTCCCCGCGGCTGCGCGTAGCGTCGTCGATGCGCTCAATCGCTTCGTCTCGGCGGCAGCATTGTCGTCGTCCGCGACCGCGACGACGTTCGCTCGCGCACGCATGGATTCCACGACGCTCACCCGGCCCCTCTGGAGCATTTGACGAGCGATGGTGACATGACGCTCCTCGCTGTGGAAACGAGATGATGTCACGCACGGCGCGCCACGTCGCTTGATGACGTCTTGGGGTGAATACTTTTCGCGCGTTTTTTTTCCTTCTCTCTAGGTTAAGGGAAACCTTTTTGATTGTTGTGGCCAGTTTTCTATTGGGCAATTCCCTAATAGCAACACAACTCTACACTTGGCTTTAATTCCTATTGGATCATCATCCTCACCATGAGAGTTACCGTGGCCCCTCTTTCAGACTCGTGGAGCTGATGCATTCAACCTTTGAATGTAATCCTCATCATCATCATCCTCTGCTATGATCCGTCCACTGCTGGATGGAGGGCGTCGCCATCTTTCCCAAGCTGTCACCATCTCGCGATTCTGCAACGGAGCAATCGACCGCAGACCCCGCTCAAAAACTGATTTCGTCACTCCATCTCCTCGGTGGACGTGATTCCCACGGACGCGTCCTCTCCCCTCGACTTTGAATCTGCCTTTGATCTTGCTGCGACGCGTCCTGCCCCAAGGCGCACTCGCTCTCAACCCGGACAAACGTCAGGTGCCTCCGTCGCTCAAATCGTCGGCATTGGACGACGCTCCTCTCCCCTTGGCAGCTCCTGAGCGGCTCGTGGAGATATCGGAACCCTGCCGCGGTGTAGCGGCGAGCGGCGCACCGCCGGACTTGGATCCAAAGGTCGCCGGTTCGGTGCGATCCGCCTCGGCGCGGCAGTTGAAGCAGCGGTGCGGTGGCGAGATGTTAGCTACCTTGCCTGATACGCAATAGGTCGTGAGTTCGATCCCGACCCTGACGCCTGTTGTATATTTGGAGTTTGCGTGTTTCTCTCGCCCTGGTCACCTGGATTTTTCTCTGGGTGCTCCGGTTTTTCCCTCTACATTTAGAAATGTACGTTTTAGTTTAGCTTAATTTACTTCCTGAAGAAGTTCCCAGCGCTTTGGCGTTAAACATCGGGACACCGTGCCGAACCATGCAAGGTACCACTCGGAACCAACGCATCCTAGTGTCACAGATTAAGTAGAGTCCAGGCAGAGTCTGTTTCCACGCTGGCTGTTGATGTGTGTTGAACGTCATATAAAATGTTTGGCAATTGTGCTCTGGGCGGACTGGTCCCCACCATCGGAATGTGGAATTTCTATCATGGTCATCTGCATTACGGAATGAGTCCGGGTTACTTGGAGCGCTCGGCAGCACCGCGGAGGTGCTGGGTGTGGATCTGGGGGAGTGGCCACTGCCCGGAGTTGAACCGGGTTCTCGGGTGTAGTTTAGTTTTTAGTTTCTTGAGCCTCCTGCCCCCACCGCCTCCGTCCAGCCAGCGGGGTCAATGGCCGTGCCGCGGCGAGTCGCCCGGCAGGTCGCGTCATTTGGTGGGCTGAAGCGTCTGGCCAGAGTGGAAGAGGAGGCCGAATACCTCGGTCTGAGAGGGCACCTGCACGCTCTCCCTAGTGGAGGCCCGTGCTGTCGGCAACGAGCGCCTGCGGGCCATGCCTTCACCTTCCCCACGGAGGTTGCCAAGGGGGGAAGGCGTCTCTGGTCATTACTTTCGCCCCCCCTCCCCAGAAAGCAGCTCGCCTGCTCGGCACGGGTACGCTTTTGCCCCCAGCTAAAATGAAAACTAATTTCTCAAGAACTGCTTTTTCTGTTTAGTTTGTTGTCCTTCCCCCCCCCACAAGCACCTCCGGTGAGCACGGTGGGCTACGTACGTTGCGAAAGAAGTTCAACATGCATACGTACATGTGACAATGTATAGATGTCCTTATCACGTGGTAATAGTTGACGTGAGCCCTTACTGACCATGGATGAGTTTCACCTCCGATGAGCACGGTTGGCTACGTGCGGTGCGAATAAAGTTCAACATACGTACAAACGTTGACCCCGCGACCTCGGACCCGATCATCGGCTGAACGGGCGGATGAGGCCGCGTGGCCCAGATTAGCGGAGAGGGAGCCGGGGGAGCACGTGAGAGAGGAGGCTTGAGGGGAGGGGTCGCTGTGTCCCACTCCCCCCCGTGCCGATGCGTGTGGCCGTTATTTCTGCAGTGGCGAATGGCAGCAGCTGCCAGAGCTGGCACAGGTCGCACGAGGGGAGGGGGTGGTGGTAGCGGCTGTGTCCTAGTTCGCGTACAGTACAGCCGTGCCGGGGGTCGGGCGGTGTTTGGCCGGGCCCTCGCACTTGGTTTGTGATTTTGCGTGGATGTTGTCGTACGTTTGTACGTTGAACTTCTTTCGCACCGTACATAGTCAACCGTGGTAAATGGAGGTGTGTGGGATGGACAACAAACTAAACATGAAAAGGAGTTCTAAAGAAATGTTATCTCGTGCGGGCTTCACCCGGGGTGAGTCGGCGATGGAGCGAGGGTGGCATGGGCCCTGGTGGCAAGAATGAAAGGCGCGCCATGGTGGCGAGATGATAATTACCTCGCCTAGTATACATGAGGTCGTGGGTTCGTTCCCAACCCGGACGCCTGCTGTATATTTGTGGTTTGCATGTTCTCTCCGTGGTCGTGTAGATTGATCTCTGGCTCCTTCGTTTTTTATCTCCACATTTAGAATCGACGTGGCTGCTATACATTTCCACACGGTGTAAGCCACTTGGTTGGGCTATCACTTGTAGGCAGGTTGCTTCTGAAAAAGAGCTCCATAGCTCAGGGGGCCTTACCTGGTCAAATAAAAAAAATTGTTTGGTTTAAATGGGGGCCCTTGTCCGATATCTTTGCTCGCCTGGCAGCCCGGCGCCTGGGCCACTCCGGCCCTGCGGCCTCGTGGCCCCTCAGTGTAGACGCGGCAGTGCCGAGCGCCGCCTCTGCATTGTTTCGGTATTTTTTTGTCATCGTTGGCTTCTCACGGAGTGAAGTTTCTAACGCATGCTTTCTCGACCAGTATCACTATTCGTAACGAGCTTCTGCCGTGTTCGATCGTCGCGTAGGTACATCGCCACTGTTCAGTCACGCCAAGTTCAGTAACTCCATAACCCGATGGAGCCAATCAAATCGAGTTGTCACGTGATGGGCAAATTTTGCCATTCACTTTGCTCTTTCAGCAAAATCGGAAGAGGATGGAGGAATGTTGAAAAGCCCGAGCAACGTTTTGACAATTTTAAATTGCCAACTTGATTTGATCGGCTTTGCCGCGTGTACGAAGGGTGCGGCCGAACGTCGGCGTCCTCCCCGCATGGCGGTCTAAGCCGGGAAGGGCTCGGTGCATCTTGAGATAGATAAGGCCAGCTAGGGCCAAAGTCCGCTTCGTCGCACTCGGGCTACGGCGCCCAACGTGGGTATGCGGCGATCGCTCCGCACAACGTTATTCCCACGCGCGCGGCGCGGCTCTTCGTGCATCCCTGCTTGACCTCTGACTTCCTGTAACATCCGGGCATCGTGACCTTTTGCAAACAGCCAACCGCTCCGAGTTTGCGAATGAGGCGTCCGTCACTCAGTATATATGTACTGTATATACGTTCAACCTCTTTTGCACCGTACCTAGAGGAGCGGGTGAAGGACAACAAACTAAACACAAAAATCAGTTCGGTGCCTCAAGTGCAGTACTCAACACTTGACACCTGAAGGCAACAACATCGTGGACGACGACGATTGAAATGTTTACGGCCTCTAAATGAAAGCTGCATCTCAAGACGCCTTAGAAAAGTGAGTGCGTCAGAGTAGAGGGTGGGGAAGAGGGGTCGGGTCAGGTCAAGACGGCGGGACTTGGGAGAGAAGAGAGGCAGTGTGGTGGCTCGGCCTGATGCGTGCAAAACAACAAGGCAGCGCTGTACCACATCACGATAAGTTCTGCAACTTACGTCCAAGTTCATGCCATTCTGTATTTGTTCATATGAGGGTGGCGTTGGTCAGCGTGAAGCTGGATGACCTTTGACCCTAAGGCCACGCACCTTTGACGCACTGTGAATGAAATTAACGAGAGTGAAGTCGTTCACACGTTCTCGGAGAGCACATGTATATATGTGTGTGTTGAACTTCGTTCGCACTGTGCAAAGCCAACCCTGATAATCGGAGGTGCGGGGGAAGGATAGCCGCACCTCCGATTTGGCACGGTTGGCTAAAGCGCGCGATGCGTTGACCGTCTTTGTGCGATGGTTAGCCAAAAGCCGCTGCTGCGAGGATGACCGGAGTTCGCGTGCCTCCTTGACGAGATTAGCAAGGTGTTATGGTTCATTTGTGGCAAGCACTTGGTGTGTGATGAGTGCGACCTCAATGTATTCGTTTAGCAACCGGAAGCCAATGCTGCTCGGCGAGGACCGGACGGACATGGTCAGCCGACAGCATCGCCTGACCGACGAGCGAATGCGCGCTGACAAACAGAAGGGCGCGGGAGTGAATCGCGATCGTATTTCTATATCGGCCGGAGGCGGAGCGCGGTTGGCATGGAACCCTGCTTCACCGCCCGCACACCCGACAGCCACCTCCGCTGGTGCCGGCGTCGCGATGCTGCTCGTTAAACTCTCCCTACCCCCTCCCCCCACCCCCCGTGCGTCTGTCCGTGCGGCGTTCAGCTCGAGCTACTCGAGGGCGGCGCTGGAGTACGAGATCCGGAACTCCCTGGACCCCGTGTACGACTCCCCGCGGATGTCGCGCCGCGGCCTGCGCCTGCGCGGCGGTAACGGCCACTCCGCCGCCTCCTCCCTCGCCGGGGACAACGGCGCGGCATCGCAGACGGCGGCGGTGATGGCCTCCCAAGGCAGCGCCGGCAAAACCCGGGACGGATCGGACAGCGGCGAAATCAAGTGAGCCGGCCCGCCGCAGTCGCGTCGTGGTCTCGTCGCGGCTCTCTCTCGCCGGCGCTCGCGAGGGAGACGGGAGGACGGGAGTCACACCGCACCCTGGGCCTTGATCTCTCATGTGCAGCACGTGGAGGGGCCTGCAGTGGCTTTAGAATGGCCTCCGCCGCTGACAGCGAGTCTCCACCGGTACCGGGCGAGGCCCGATCGCACATGGGCTCGCGCCGTCGGTGAACATTCGAATCGCGGTCCAGAGTTCGCGTGATTGTCGTTGCGTGCGTTCATAACGCACGCTCTGACGAGCAATGAGGCGATTGCTCATCTCTGTGGTTTTGCAGAAATTCCACATTCCCACTGTCGACCTCCCACAAAACAGAACTGCTCCTTTTATACTATCGTCATCATCGCCAGCATCATCCTCATTGTTGATCCCGCGGCGGCTCGCAGCCGGGACATCTCGTGGCACCAGAATAAGGAGGCCTTCGAGATAATGAAGGGAGTGATTGCAGACCAGACTCAACGTAAAAAACTCTCCGGGAGAGACGGCGCGCACGACAAACGAGACGACACGATGGGAAGGGTCTCGAGTCGTCTCCGTCTTGCTGCGTTTGAGTCGCTCGCCTTACACAAAATAGCCTCTTGCGTTTTGATGGATTGTGGGCGTGATGATCGTATTTCCTGGTGAGCCGTTCCGCCTCTGACGACCTCTGGCCGCCGCGGCGGTGCAGGTTCGCGTGGAGCTCGGCCGCGGTGACGAACGCGGCGCGCGTGCGACTGGACGGCGGCGCCGCCGGGTCGCCTCGCCGGTCCCCACAGCGCCGCGCCGCCATCTCCGCTGGAAACCACCCGGACCTCCTCCTGGCCTCCTCATCCCCGCTCCCGGACCTCTCCTCCTCCTCCTACACCAAGGTGGAGACGACCTCCGCCTCCGTCCACAGCCGGGGTGAGCGCGGGCGCCGCCAGCGAACCCGGGGGCCGATCGCGAGCGCGGGATGCGGCGTTGGCGCCACGGTACCTTCGCGGTTTGCGACTCGCAGCCGTGGTTCGTTGACATCGCACAGCCACGGTCGTCGTTGAGGCCGGCTCTGCTTGCCGGTTTATTCACCCCCCGTGCCGAGTCACAGATGGGGTTGCTGGCTTGTGCGAGGTCGAACTCCCCCTGTAGGGGTGGGTGAGGGGGGGCTACCGGGGACTCCCTGTGGGACGCAGCGGCACTTTGTGGAGTGACGCTTCGCCTCAATGGGATTTCGCGACCCGGAGGAAGCGCCGCTTTGCGCGCGTTGACAAAAAGCGTTCCGCGGCGATGTCGCAGCGGCCGTGCGACTCCACGGTGGGCGACTGGTGGGGGAGGGAGGGGTCCGTCGTGGCTCTGCTCCCGACGCAACGCCGGCGGCCATGCTCGCGAGCTGATTTCCTCGCTTCATTTCCTCGGCTCGGTGGGCGTACCCTCGGACGCGTCCCATCCCCTCGACTGTGAATCTGCCTTTGTTCTTGCGGCGACGTGTCCTGCCCCAGGCCCACTCGCTCTCGAACTGGACAAAGCAATTCGATCCCCCCTCCTCCCCCCCGAATGGAGACCCTCCGGCCCAGTCGGTGTGTCTGTGCCGCGCCCTGCGAATGATTTTGACGACGCCGCTATACCCGGCGGAGCTCGCCGAGTCTCCAGGCCCCCGTTGTTATTTCAGGAGGGACCTAGCCAGCTTCGGCTCCAGGGGGCGACGTCGCTTCGCATTTCCCGTCCGATAGATTCGAGTTACTCCTGAAGGCACACTCCCTTCCCTCGCTCTCTCTCTCTGGCCGCTGCAGCTGGCGCCATGGACTCGGAGGTGAGTCTGGCTAACGGCGCCGTGCCCTCGGCGACGCCGGCGGCGGAGACGGACTCCGCCCCGCCGCGTGGCGCCCGGGCGACGCCCACCAACGGCTACGGCTCCTCCGGCCGTCACGCACACGAGCAGTCCTCCTGCTCATCCTCCTCCTCCCTCTACTCCTCCGGCAACACGTGGGCCGCTCACTCCTGGGGCGAGCGGGTCGGAGGTGAGCGGGCTAAAGCGTGACGCGTCCCGAGTCCGCTCCGTGGCCTCGCTGTCATCTTGCTGGGATCTCGGTTGACGCCGAAAATCTCAAGGAAGAGAGAGAGAGACGGCTCCCCGCCATAGCCGCGTTGAACTTCTGCTCCTGTCGCGTGGCCCCGAGCTCATTACACACACGGGGGACAATTGGCCTCGCTTGTTGTACGTATCCAACCGTGGTTATTGGAGGTGCGGGCGAAGAACAACAAACCAAACACAAAAAGCAGCTGTAAAGAAATGAGTTTTCAACCGAGAGGATTTCAAAGTGCACAGCTCCAGTGGCTTCTTAACATTGGAAGGGGGAGAGCGTTCCAGACGCCTGCAGAAGCGCGCGATGCGGTGACCGTCTTTGTTCGATGGCTCGCCAAAATCTGCTGCTGTGAGCATGACCGGAATTCGCGTGATGGTTTATGCTCCTTGACGATTAGAACGGTTGGCTACGTACGGTGTAAAATAAGTTCTACATACATACAGCAAGGTTTCGTGGTTCATTTGTGGCAAGCGCTTTGTGTAATAAGCGCAACCTTACAATGTGTTCGTTCCGCAATACGGAAGCCAATTCAGCTCGGCGCGAGAACCAGACAGACGCAGTTGGATCTTGCAGTAAAAGAGTTCCGTCAGCTGCTTTGGTTGTTTCAGGCAGAGGCTTGTTTGTCAGCATCGTCTGCCGTTGCGCTGCTGCCGTGTCTCCCCCCCCCCACCTCCGCCAGGCCTGGTGGAGACCGCCACGTGGGCCGTTACGTGGGTGGCGCAGGGCGCCGCGCGGGCGAGACGCGCCGTGCTGCGGTGGCTGCTGCTGCTGCTGGCGCAGCTGCTCTGGAGCGACGAGGCCGGCGTCTCGCAGGCCGACTCGGACGACTCCAGCAAAGCGGCGGCCTTCGCCCACGACGCCTCGTTCGCCCGCGACGCCTCGTTCGGCAAGATCCCCCGAGCCGAGATGACCCAGACGACCACCACCACGGTGACGACCACCACCAAGACGCGGCGCCAGCGTCGCCGAAACCGATTCTTCCCGCTCGACGCCGACGTTCGAACTCGACGACGCCGCCGCCAACGGCGCCGCAGACGCCGAGGAGGACGATCGCTACATGACCCTGAGGTCGCGGGCGCTGGCGTGGCAGGGCCGCTGCGTGCACCACGAGCAGCCGGGCGCGGCCGTGGAGGCGCCGGTGGCGGTGGCGGCTGCGGCAGTGGCGGCGAGCGGTGGCGGCCGCGATGAGCGGTGGTCGTCGCGTTCCTTGGCGACGCAGCGGAGCTCGTCCTCGGCCCACGAGACGTTTCACGCCGGGGTCGCGCACTACGGCGGCTACGGTGGCTACGGTGGCGGTGGCTACGGTGGCGGCGGCTACGGCAGCGGCAGCGTGGGCGGCAGCGTGGGTGGCGCGGCGTCGCTGGCAGAGTTTTCCGATGGGGAAGGTACCCAGCTCCTTTATTCCGTCGTGTTTGCTAATTCCGCAAAGTTCCTTGCAATCGAAAGTCATCTGGCTGTGAGTCACCAGTGGCAATTCCCGATCGCCACGGTGGAGGAAGGCTGATGGGCTGAGTCGTCCTCGAACCGAGAGCAAAACGATCATCCCATTTCTCGCTGCGGAAAAGCGTATAACAGGCGACGTTTTCGCCAATGGCCTACCTTTATATCACATACCCACAATGAATTTTGCCGCTGTGCGACGGCCCACCCGGTCGGTGTTGACCGTGTGGCGAGCGGTTGAGGTCGTGCGAGTGGAGCGCCGTGACGGCTGCGTCCCGTCGCGTCACCGTGTGTCTCCGCGTGTGGCGCTCAGGCTGCGAGATTGAGAAGCGCAGCGAGGCGACTTCGGCGGTGGCGTCAGGGGCGGCGGCTGCATCGTCGTCGTGGACGTGGTCCTCCGTGAGACGCCTCCTGACGAGTCCAGGTAATGCGCGATGACGAAATCGACGACGACCTCCTGCTACCGCTCACGGTCGGTTCGACAGCACCGCGCCGCGCACGCCGCGCCGAGGCACTTTACAGAGCCGCGATGCGCTCGCTCGCGCAGTTCGTCATGCGTGGTGCGCGCGAGTGACAGTCGAGACATAGTACATACAATGTGCAATGTATGTACAATGTATTTACAGTGTACATACATTGTACATACAATGTATGTACAATGTATGTGCGTTCAACATACACACACACACATTGTAAACTTGTTGTCGATGTTTATCCCCATATGTAGAAAAATTAGGTGAAAATCAATATATAAGCAACTGGGGTGTCGTTTGGCGTAAGAGCGCTGGCTCAGGCAGGGATGCCCAGACGCTGGTTGGTTTCCTCGACAGGAGACACAATCGCCGCTCTGGCAAAACGATCGTTGGGTGGAGCGGTGGCGTGGCAGTTAGCTGAGCTGTGCACTGAACCCATCGAATTTCCATCTAATCCAGTTGTAGGCCGGCCCCCCGCCCTTTACCGATCCACGTGGTGAAGTATGGTCGAACAACCCCCATACAACAGACACAGCACGGGGGGGGGGGGGGGAGGCCTTTGTGCAGTGGCGGATTGACGAAGGAGGCGGTCTCCCACACCGCACGCAACCGTCGGCGGCGGCAGTGGCGGCCGCTTCCGTGCGGCGGTGGCTGGCGCCGGTGCCAACTTTGTGTGTGTGTGTCTAGAGGAAGGGGTTGGCGCGCCCTCGCGACGGAGTTTCTGTTTTGTTCCTCTGCCGGGCTTGTCGTGACGCGTGGCGGCGTGCTCTGGCGGAGAGCCGATGGCGGTCGCTGGCGCGGCGCGAGCGGCCCCACCCCCTCCTTCCTCATGCCGGTCGTTTCCTAATTAGTTCCTCGTCGCCTTAACGGCTGCGGCCGTGCCGTTTCCGCCGTTTGCGATCCCGGCAGCGGCGGCAGGGGCGGGGTTGGCGCCGTAATCGCGCCGCCGAGGGTTCCGGCGTCGTTTCTCTCAGCATTGGGCGCCGTGCGGCAAAACCAGGCCCGGATCGTGGCAGCGCGGGACGATTTGTCGGATTCGCCTCCTGCGTAAACGAGGGCGCGAGTGGACGAACCCCACCACCCCCCCCCCACCCACTCTCCCTGTCCGCTCGTTGTGTGCGCGCGTCACTGTGCCCTGCACTGGGGAGCGGCAGTGTAGCGGTTGGCGCTACGCTGCGCTCCGAACCCGGCGACTCAAGTCCGTTCCCGCTCGCGGCCAACACCGGTGACGATTATCTGAACAGGTCCTGGGCCTCTCCTTGGTCGGCTGAGTACCTGGTGTTTAAAAACATTGCTACTGGGGAGACAAAGGCGGTCGGGCTTGGTGCTGGGCATCTTCGTGTGCCGTGCCAGCCTTCATCGGTGCTCGCTAACCGCATTTGCCCCAACAGTCTGTTAATGCTTTACAGCAGATCTTTGTCTTTGTTTTTTGCGCTGTCTGTGCAAGGCATTTGTGTGTGTGCGTCTATTTAAGGCGGTGTGGGCGCGTGTGTGTGTGTGGGCGTGTGTGCACATGGGCGTGTGTGCGTGTGTCTCAGGGCGCTGCGTGTCTGCCCTCTTCTGGTGGCTCGGCACTGGGTGGTACCAGCTGGTGACGCTCGTGTCGCTGCTCAACGTCTTCCTGCTCACCAGGTGGCGGTTCCCTCCGCACGACAACAACACGACACAATGACACCACACAGCGTCACGACACAACGACACCACACAGCGTCACAACGACACCACACAGCGTCACAACACAACGACACCACACAGCGTCATAACACAACGACACCACACAGCGTCACAACGACACCACACAGCGTCATAACACAACGACACCACACAGCGTCACAACACAACGACACCACACAGCGTCATAACACAACGACACAACGACACCACACAGCGTCACAACGACACCACACAGCGTCACGACACAACGACACCACACAACGACACAACGACACCACACAGCGTCACAACACAACGACACCACACAGCGTCATAACACAACGACACAACGACACCACACAGCGTCACAACGACACCACACAGCGTCATAACACAACGACACAACGACACCACACAGCGTCACAACACAACGACACCACACAGCGTCATAACACAACGACACAACGACACCACACAGCGTCACAACGACACCACACAGCATCATAACACAGCAACACGACACCACACAGCGTCACAACGACACCACACAGCGTCACAACACAACGACACCACACAGCGTCACAACACAACGACACCACACAGCGTCACAACGACACCACACAGCGTCACAACGACACCACACAGCGTCACAACACGGCACCACACAGCGTCATAACACAGCGTCACAACGACACCACACAGCGTCACAACGACACCACACAGCGTCACAACGACACCACACAGCGTCACAACGACACCACACAGCGTCATAACACAACGACACCACACAGCGTCACAATGACACCACACAGCGTCACAACGACACCACACAGCGTCACGGCACAACGACACCACACAGCGTCACAACACAACGGCACAACCACACAGCGTAAACACAACGACACCACACAGCGTCACAACGACACCACACAGCGTCACAACACAACGGCACAACGACACAGCGTAAACACAACGACACCACACAGCGTCACAACGACACCACACAGCGTCACAACGCAACGGCACAACGACACCACACAGCGGCACAACGACACGGCATAAACACAACGACACCACGTGCGTCACTCTCCGCTGCCGAGCGTCCTGCCAGAGTGCTTTGCGACGCAAAACTCTGCAAGCCGTGCGTCAATCCAAGTCCAACTCTGAATTGAGGCCTCGCATACAAATGAGTTGTAAGATTTAATTTCAGAGTCGAGCTACCTGGAATAAGGGCCCCGCTGCACGGCCGCATTCCAACCTCCGTCCCGTGGGAATATTCCTGACGTTGTTTTCCCCGTGGATCGTTGCGGAGCGGTGACGCACCATGCCACGAATCTGCCCTTCCGGAGTTCGATTCGTTAACACTTGCAATGATAAGGACAATAATATTGATCATTATCAGCCATTTCTTTTATCAACACCAAACCGATGATGATGATGATGACGATGTTGACGATGATGATGGGCCAAGTCTACCATTGACCGGGATTCAAACTCACACCGTCCCGATCGCGAGTGAAGCGCTTCTGACCGAAATTGCCATTCAGACAAACGTTGCGATCACAGTCGCAATAATAATGTAACTAAAAATAATGACGGCTCGTTGGCGACAATGATGACAATGATGAGTTGTGCGTTCATAGATGATCTCATCATCTCGCACGTGGGAAATGGGCGCCCCCAATGACGACTGACCCCATGGCCACAAGGCAGCGTGGCTCAGCACCTGGCCTGGAAGCGGCGATGCGTCTGCGCGCGGAGAGGAGGGCCGATGACCGCCGCCGCTGCTGCCATGTGGCCTCTCAATTAAGCAATTTCAAAGTAGATCTTGACTTAAAGTGATTGCTTGCGTTGCGATCGAAACGTCATCGTTTTTTTGTTATTTTGTTGTTTTCTTTGAACCTATCTACGTGACTTTACCGAAAGACCCAAGAATATGAATTTCAGAGTAACGTTCTAATTTGGTACATCTCTTTAAGTCAAGTGCCGGTTGAAGCCCCCTTCTCTCAATCGCCACCGATGATGTGGCAGCAGTGGCCAGGCGTGCAGACGGTCCCAACGCGAGGCTCAACCCCACCACTCCTCCTCCCCTCCCCCCTTGTAGGCACTACCGTAGGCACCTGCTCGGCCTCCTGTTGCTGCTACTGCTGCTGCTCCTGCCCCTGCTGCTCTTCTACGGTACGCTCGCGCCGTCGCGATGCCCTCGTGACGCCCGCACGATGGCCGGTGCTGTCGCGTGTCCATCGCCGCTGACCGCGCCGACTGCACGGACCGACTCCGCGTGGATTCGAGTCGGTGGCGCCCGCCCGCATAGCAGCGCCCACTGTGTCTAAATGAGCGTCGCGCCCGATGCTTCTGGCGTTGCGGAGTGGCGGCTGGGAATATTAACGTCGTACAAATAAATAACGCGACCGTAAATCACGTTCATGTGACGCCGTTCAACAGAGCGCCGCTGCAAGGCGCCTCGCTGTGCATCATCATCATTTGTTGATTTTGCTTGGTCAACGGGTTTTCATTTTCTTGGCAGTGGCTCTGTATGGGATTTGGTCCCCTCATATGTAATCAAAGTACATGCTAAGATAAAATGAAAGTATAATTTTTTTAATGCGATCTACCGCATAAACCCAATCACGAATGCTGGTCGCGAATGCCTGCAGCCTGTGAAGTTTGCGCCGTTGTCGTTGAGCAGGCGGCTGGTGGTGCTGGGCGGCGCTGGGGTCGCTGCTGCCCAGCGCGGGCCCCACAGGCGCCGTGCTGCCCGTGCTGCCCCCCCCGACGCACGAGCAGAAGGTACCCGTGAAGCGCCGTCTTGCCACGTCGTTCTCCGCTCCTCGCGTCCGCCGCCGCGCATCGCGTTGCTCCGCCGTGCTGCCCCCCCACCCCGCGTCTCCGTGTCTGCGTCGTGTCGCTTTGGGCTTGCGGCGTTGAGCGTGTTCGGCGTTGCGCGAGTTGCATTTAGATATCCAGACGGATTCAATTTGTAATTTTCACTTCGGCTTTTCTGTATTGTCTCACCACGCCGTCTCACCGTGCCGTCTCACCGACGTCGTGCTCTCGCGTGCCGCTCGTGCCGCTCGTGTCGCTGTTCCTCCTAGGCCGTGCTTGCACCCTCGACTTCTGTGGGGACGCCGGACGGTGGCGCCACTGCCACCGACAGGCACCCCGCGGCGCCGCCCGGCGCCAGCACGCAGCACGCGCTCCGGATCGATCGCCTCGAGAGGGAGCTGCTGTTGCTTCGAGCGTCGGCAGCCGATCAGCACGAGAGCATCCAGGAGGCCGTGCGGCTCATCCTCGACCTGCGCGCCGAGCAGCGGCAGGCGGCGGCCGCGGCGGAGACGGGCGGCGAGCAGGGCAGGGCGGCGGCTGCGGCGGCGCTGGCGGCCGCGGCGTTGGCGGAGGAGCATCGGTACCGGCACCTGGACGATCACATTAAGCGCTTGGCCAAGGCGCTGGCGGCGCAGACGGACGAGGCGGAGAGGCAGCGGCTCAGGATTCAGCTGCTGGGGCGGCAAGTGAGCGCGCTGTCGGCCGACGGGGAGGCGGCGCGCTCCCGAGACGCCGGTGCCACCGCAGGGGAGCGGGCCGAGGAGGCGAGGCGGGCGAGCGAGGAGGAGCTGCTCGCGAAGGTGGACGAGCGAGTCGGGGGCAGCCTGGCCGCGTTGCTCGCGGACGTCCGGCAGAACCGCGACGGCATCGGCAGCCTCGGGGTGAGCGGGCGGCGGCGGAGACTGCGGCCTCGCGGTTACAAGCGCGCGTGAATCGGGCTTCGTACACCGGGCGTCGCGGCTACGGTGGACTCGGCGCGCCCGTCGATTTGGGTACCGAGCTGCGGTCGTTGACGCACGGCACACGCGCTTCTTTTTGTTTCAGACTCGCGTGGAGCAGCGAGACTCGGAGGTGACAAGGCTGCTGAGCAGCATCGAGGGCAGCGTCTTGGTGAGTCGCCAGGACCACCGCGCGGGTTTGCCGGGCTTTTGCCGTCGGGTTGAGCGGGGCGACTGGGAAGCGGCGACGGCGAACGGCGGAACCTCACCGGGCGGTCCTCTGCTCTGTGTGCCGACAGGAAATTCAGAAGGTGCAGATTCAGCTCCAGGACTGGAAAAGGAACGGGAGCCAAGACAACGAAAGGTGCGGATGAGCCGGGAGCGGCGCGTCGTGGTCTCACCGGCGACGCGATGCTCCAATTGGGGGCAATTCCGGCAGATTTCATCACCACGGTTTACAGGCGGGCGTGGGTTTGACCCTGACGCCTGCTAGGGTCCTCCGCTTTTTCCCCCTCCATATTTAGAATCAACATCAAGTATTTGGCTGCTTTACATTTACAGGTTGCTTCTTTAAAAGAGCTACATTGCTCAGTGGACCTTACCTGGTAAAAAAAAAAATTGTTTAATTTAAAAAATTGTTTAAATAGATTTGCGTGGGACCTTGCTGAGCATATGAGCCTAGTTATTTTTATGTCGTTATAACAAGAACACATCGGCATGTGTACACAGACGCCAAGGCTCGGCTCGCAATTACATAAGGTCATGGGGTCAAACCTTTAGCCCCATCATCCCTCTGGGGAAGATAGAATATAAGTACCACAGTGGCTGTCTCACGGAGAGACCCCGTGGTGGCTTGCCTTAGGATTGTGGAAAGTGTCTGACGACTCCCTGAGCAGCGCCAGTGGAGAGGAGCGCCGGCTCGTTGGTGTTGGCGTGGCGGATTTTTAGTTTGGTCATCGCAGTCGGCGAGTCCCTTCGTGGGAACGTCTGCGGAGAGAGAGGGCGAGAGGGCAACTCTTGACAGGCACTGAAGCGTTCCCGCCTTAGACACTTATAACATCGCAGGACCCTCCCCCCCGCCCCGCCTACCCACAGTTCACTTGTGCGCACACCTGAGCAGAGGGAACTCCTCGTCGGAGCTGCTTTGTGTTTTACGGCTAAGACAGATTGCCGATGTTGTGATTTCATTCCATAGAAATTAGATTCGGAACAATCCCCGCAAAATTTTGCCAATGTCCCAACGATGCTTCATCGCAAGGCACGTGCTGGGGCGCCAACATGGAAATCCTGTTGCCAGGTTCATCCCGTTGCCATTGAGAAGGACCGTTACCCGAAACGACGCCTAACTGTCTCGGCAAGGATGGGGTAAGAGGCCCACGTGTGGTCAATTTGTCCCGGTGCTCCTTGAGCCGCGGTGATGTCGAGGTGCAGGTTGGTGCCCTCCTCCAGTCCAGTGGTTCTCAGCCGGGGGTAACGGGGACCCCTGGGGGGTACGTGAGGTGATTTTATAAATGTGTGAAATTATATCAAGCGTGAGAGTCATCGGTAAATAATCACGTATGAATCTGCCAATATAAAATAACGATAAAAAGAAATTCCACATGGTAACCTAGAACGATATAAAATACCTTTTTAAACTCATTGATGGTGCACAGTGCGGTTTCCAAGAGTAACCAGCGATCGCGAACAAATTACGTCACGCGTGCAGAGCAGGACAACGGAGGCCTTCTAGTGCACGTAGTCTGCCTCTTACTCCACCGCGGTTTTCCAGGTGACCGCGCGGAGGCGTTTGCGACCCCGCCGCCGCCGGCGCGACTTCACGGCGACGTCGTTTGCGTTGCCGCCCCCAGGTGGGACGAGGGTGCCGGCCGCCGCCGCCTGTCGGAGGCCCTGGCGCGCCTCGAGGTGGACGTGGCCCGCCTGGAGTCGCGGCTCGAGGCCCTGAGCGGCCGCGTCACCGACGGCATCGCCGCCGCCACCGAGCGCTGCTGCGGAGACGCTGCCGGCGCAACGGAACGCACGGTGCGCGTCGCCACGAGCGCGTCACACGGCGTCGCACGGCGTCGCACGACGTCACACCGCGTCACACCGCGTCACACCGCGTCACACGGCGCCTCACCGCGTCACACCGCGTCACACCGCATCCACTGACGCCGTCGTGGATCTCCCCGTGCTGGCAGCGGGGGGCCCGTGAGGAGATCACGGCGCCGTGGACCCCCCCGGGGCCCCACGTGGGGGCCGCCTCTCGCTTCGCTTTGCGAATTGTCCGTCGCTCGTTCTCGTCTCTTTTTCGCCGTCGCGGGCCAGGTCCGCGCGGGCGTGGAGGCGTCCCTGCTGGCGCTGCTGGCCGGCGGAGACGGCAAAGGCGAAGGCGAGGCCGGCGAGACGCGGGCGGCGCTGCTGCGCTGGCTGAGCGAGCGCTTCGTGCGACACGACCAGCTGGGCAAGGCGGTGCGCGATCACGCAGCTGACACGGTCGTTGCCGCGGGCGCCACCGTCACCGCGGGGATTCGCGGCGGCGCTGCCGATGGCGTCTCGGAGGAGGTGAGCCGAGCCGGCGCAGGGTGCCAAGCGAATGTTCGCCCCCGCGGCCGTGCACCGGTCTCGCCTACGGCGATGATCAGAATCAGAGTCTGTATTTGTCACGGAGGAATCCGATGAGCTGTGAAGCTCCTTTTCACAGATGTCCAGTAGGGGGCGGGTCAGAAAGCTACAGCAACAAACACACGATAGGTGTGCAAAGTGTAGGAAAGGTAAGCGAATCACAAAAAATGGATAAATAACTCAAATAAGTAAAGTCCATAACTACAGCAATTACAGAGCTGAGCCCCCGTATTCTAGAGCAGGCAAAGTGACGTACGTCCCCGCGTGTCCCCCTGTGTCCCCGTGGGTCCCCGTGCAGCGTGTGCAGCACATCGTGCAGGACGCGCTGCGGCTGTACAGCGCGGACCGCATCGGCCAGGTGGACTACGCCCTCGAGTCGGCCGGTACGGCTCCGCCTGCTCCACGCCACCTTCGCCAAACCTGATTCCAGTCGCACTCCCCTCGTGTGCGACTGCGCCTAGCAACCGCAAACCGTGTGGGTGCTACCACCCAAGCTGGCGGGGTGGTAGCGCCCTGCTCACGGTCACCAACACCATTGACGATTATTTGAACCGGTTCCTGGCCTCCCCTCGATCGGCTCGGCCTCAAATAGGTACCTGGCGCGATGTGTAAACATCGCCGCTTGGGAGACAAAGGCGGCCGAGTGTGGCCACCCACCCCCTCGTGTGCCGTGCCAGCCCCCGTAGCTGCTCGCTAAGAGCACTTGCCCCAACAGTCTGTTACAGGCTGTACGGGGGATCTATGTCTTGAATCTCTAATGGTTACTCTACATAAGGCATGTGAGAGAGATTCTGTTCAGGTACCGATTGTCACTCGGATTTCAACCCAGGTCTTGGGTGTTGAAGGCGCGGTGCCCTGAGACCCCCCCGAACCACCGTCCCCACCTCCTGTTCGTCCGTGCTTTGTCGTGGTCCAAGTTCACCGCGTGTCGCGTGCGGTCGCGAGTCCCACGTCTGTGTTGCCTCTGACTTGCATCCCGATGTCTGTGTCTCTCAATGTTCTATCCCTTTCACTCATTGCATGTCTGCGCAAGTCTGCCTGTGTCTGTACCTCTCTGTGTGTGTGTCTCTCCGTGTGTCCGCGTGCCCTTTCTGCATGTCTCCGTGTGTCCACGTCTCTCTTTCTGCGTGTCCGTCTCTGTGTGTCTCTGCATGTCCGTGTCTCTCTCTCCGCTTGTCTCTGCGTGTTCACGTCTCTCCCGTCTGCGTGTGTCCGCGCAGGCGGCAGCATCCTGAGCACTCGCTGCACAGAGACGTACGAGACCAAGACGGCCATGGTCAGCTTCTTCGGCCTCCCCATCTGGCACCTGTCGCAGTCGCCGCGCGTCATCATCCAGGTGCGACGGTGACGCTCGCGCCTCGCAGCACGAAGGTCCCGGGTTCGATTCCCGGGCTCGGGCGCCTTCCTGTATGGCGTTTGTAAGGTCTCGCCCAGTTCTGCACGGGCATCCTCTGGGTTTTAAACACACAATGTAAACCGGTGCCTGCCAAACCACACCGCAATGCTACAAAAAAAACAACTGCAAAACACTCAATTGGGATCGCACACGGCAGCAGGAGCTTCAGCAGCAGCAACATCGTCCCCTTACTGCGAACACTTGGCAGGAACCTCCTGTAAAGAGTCCTGAAGCTCTCCCGGGCGGACGAGCGTGGACGATGAGCGAAAAAAAAAAAATGGAGCCCTGCGTTCATGATGCGCGAGTTGAACGGCGCACGTGAGAACGCTTCTCTGGCGATTGACACAAACGATATCCCGATTTGCACGTGGAGACCAACGCGGCGTAACGTGCCAGACGTTACAGGGTGCCACGGTGGAGAGATGTGAACCACCTCGGCTGGTATGCAGGAGGTCGTGGGTTCGATCCCGACCCTGACGATGCCTGATGTATATTTGCGGTGTTTTTCTCCGGTTTTTCCCTCCACATTTAGACTCAACATCACGTGTTTAGAGTATTTGGCTGCTATAAATTACCACATGATGATAAGCCACTTCGTTGAGCTGTCATTTGTGGCCAGGCCGCTTCTGAAAAAGAGCTGTATGGCCTCAGTGGGCCTAACCTGGTAAAATAAAATCAATAAATAGTTAGAAATGAGAGAGGCGCGCGGGCGTGTGAGAAGGGCAGCACAAACGAGCACCGATCCTTGACTGGACTCGCGACCTCGAATCGTGGGAACAGTCTCAGGTCGCCCTGGCTGGGAAGGGGGGGTGCTGGGGGAGCCCGGGTGGATCGTCGCGTGCCGTGAGAGAGACAGCGACACCCACGGCCCTGGGCTACTGTTGCTGCTGTGCTCGCCCGCACCCCCCCCCCTCGCCGCTCGCGTGATCCGATCCGCACTCTTCGATAGCTGGCGCCAAACTGTGACGCACGCCCTCCCGCACGATGACGTACACGACGTCATCATTGGAACGGGAAAGGGTTGATGTAACATTCCCCCCCCCCCCCTTCTCTTCTTGTCTCTCCGTCTCTGCGGTGCGCACTCCCCCAGCCGGACGTGAACCCGGGGAACTGCTGGCCGTTCCGCGGCACGTACGGCTACGTGGTGGTGCAGCTGTCGGCCACGATCCGCCCCACGGCGTTTTCGCTCGAGCACGTGCCGCGCTCCCTCTCCCCGACCGGCGCCGTGAGCAGCGCGCCGCGCGACTTCGCCGTCTACGTACGTCCCCGCGCCGAGACGGAGCGCTCCGCTCGCCAACTCGCGCATTCCTCACTCACTGCTCAATCGCCACTCGCATTCACCGCTCGGTCGCTCACCGTTCCGCTACCCGCGGCTCCCACGCGCACGTCAATGTGACGCCCCTCCACGCGCGCGTCACACTTCGGCGGCAATCGCTGTGTAACGCGCGCCGCTGCTGTTGTTGCCGCCAGGGCCTGGAGAGCGAGGACCAGGAGGAGGGGCTGATGCTGGGACGCTACAACTACGACCAGGACGGGGAGGCCATCCAGACCTTCCCCGTGCAGGTGAGCGGCCGTCTCGGAGATCGAGAAACGAGACGGGACGTCCCGCGTACGCGCGGATCTTGGGATGCTTTCACGCGTGCGTGCAATTGGCCGGGTTTCAATCGAGCGATTTTTTTTTTTTCCCTACCCCTGGCAGCAATGCGACATTACAATCCAGCTCCGCTGGCGTTGGATCCACGTGACGGGAAATGTGCCCACTGCCACCCTCGCTACAGACAGAGCTGCTGCCGAGAACGCTTGCAAACCGAGTTGGAAACGTTAACAAAAGTGCCGCGGTGTAATTGGCGAAGTTTTCCCAAATTGACAGGGATGGACGGGTGAGGCGGAGTGGTTGGTGGTGGTGGGGGGGATAATGGGGGGGGAGGGGGCATTGTTTCCCTGAGCCCACGCAGCCACCTCAAAGTCCACTTCTCGAGTCTCGCGCCACCGACCGGCCTGTAGGGGGCGCTGGCCCCTCAAGCCCGGCACTGCCGCGCCGTCTTCACCGCGCCACTCCCCCCCCTCCCCCCTCCCGCGATCACCGTCGCTGTCTCTCCGCCCGGCAGGAGGAGATGGGCGACACGACGTTCCGCATCGTGGAGCTGCGCGTGTTCAGCAACTGGGGCCACCCGGAGTACACGTGCCTCTACCGCTTCCGCGTGCACGGCCGCCTCGCGCCGCACTGAGGCCGCCACCCCCCCCCCGCCGCCCCCCCCCGCCCTGCCACCCCACCCACCCGCCGCACCGGCCTGCACCGGTAGGGCGCGACGAGGACGCGACGCGCCGACCCCGTGTGCCAGTGCGCAGCGACCACCCAAACTTAAATTCGGATGATGAAAGTTTTGCGGGAACCGCCGCCACGTTTCTTTTCTTACCCGGGGGGCGTTCGTAGCGGCTACCCGAGCGGCGTGTTTGGCCGTCCTCAAAGTTGGCGAAGGCCGTCGCGAAGGCCGTCGCGAAGGCCTTCGGGGTTTTTTGTTCATTTTGTGTTCGCGGCGTCGCTCGTCCCGTTGTGGTCTCGCGGTCGTTTTCGCGCGCCTCCATAAATAATTTCGAAGGCCCTCTTTGTTTTTTTTCTTTTCCTTCTGTTGTTGTTCTGCCAAAAAGCAATCGGACAGATTTTTTTTTTAAAGCCTCGCGACGAAATGCGTTGTTGGGCTGCCGCCGGAGGCCGCGTTTCCCTCGCTCCGACGCGGCCGTGGCGCCAACGTCGAGACGGAAAAAAGAGAATTTCGTTAAGAAAAATGTAAAACGCGTTCGTGAAAATCTTTATTGTACACGGCATCACCCAAAACTGAGGGAGGTTTGTGGGGGGGAAGTGGGGGAGGGGTGGGCCAGACTACAATGAATGTCACACGTGGGAAGAGTCAAAACGGCACAGAAATTCACGTTTTTATAAGCTTTGCGATTTTTGGCAAAGTTTTAAGGATTTTTTTTTACGATGATACATACGTGTGTATAAAAGAAAAAAAAATAGAAAAATAAGGAAGAAGACGTAATTTTGCAAACGTAGCGCCAATCCGTCTGCAACGCCACGGGGTTGAGTCCGTTGTACATACATCACTGCCACCGCTTTGTACATTGTGCCCGGAACGCTAAACCGCGCAGCGCTGTGTAGGGAAACGATTATAACAAACAAACAAAAAGTTATAATATATTAACATGCTGTCGCTGAATCGATTTGTTGTTGTTTTGTATTTTTATTGTAATCTCCGACGCTGCCGCGGTGTCGTCGGGCCGCGCCTCAAGGACGCTTGCTCTGGTTGTTTTTGGTTTTTCTGCGACGTTAATTTCGCACCCCCCAGTCTGCGCCCCCCCCCCCCCCCTCTTCGCCGCCGTGCTCATTCGCATTTCCAAGCGCAACGACGCTAAACCTGTGGTTCTCCTTGTATCGGTTTATCACCCACTCCCGTCGGAATTGTCATTCGTTCTCCCCCCCCTTCATGTAAATATCCCGCCCGCTTTGGTCGTCATCTCGCTGGGCTTCGTCACGTGTCGAGCTCACGGCGTTTCCGCCAGAGACCGGATGAATCTTCTTACGAGTCGCCGCATGCGTGAGGGGGGTGGGGGGGAAGGCCAGCGAGTGTCCGGCAGTGGAACCCACATTTTCAACGAAACTATTATTTTTGTTCATAATCAACGTTTTTGGGTTTAGATCGCGTTATTATTTTTGCTTTACCAGGTAAAGCCCACTGAGCCAACTAGTTATTTTTCAGAAGCAACCTGGCCACAAATAATTGTGATTGCTCAACTAAGCAGCTTATGTGGATATTTCTATCAGCCAAATAATATGAATGCGTGTTGATTCTAAATGTGGAGGGGAAAAACCGGAGGACCCAGAGAAAAATCCACGTGGCCATGGGGAGATAATGTTCACACAAGGATCAAGGTTGGAATGGATCAACGACCTCCTGTATACTAGGTGCCCATTCGGGCCGATCTACAGAGTGTTCCAGATGTCTTGTGACTTAATATTTTTGCACACTCATGGGTGTGAAAACAGAAATGAATTAGCAGAGGAAAACTCCAAATAAACAGGTGTCAGGGTCTGAATTGAACCCACCACCTGCTGTATACCAAGCGAGGCAGATGAAACATCTTACCACCGTGGCACCGAAATCCAATATTAGACAAGGTGTTGACAACGCGCGTTTTAGCGGAAGCTTGTAACGGCCAGCAAACATGACCGCTTGTTGACCACGAGGGAAACTTGGACCGTTCCGACGTTCCGACTAAAACCGGGTCCCCATTGAGGTGTCACGGAGGAGGTGTGAAAAACGGAGAGCTCAGAATCTGACACCACGCGCCAACGGGTCGTGCGCCAGGTCACATGGCCCCGCCGCGCGTTGGCTCGCCGTGCTCGCTCTCAGCACGGCCGCTTTGGTGCGGGAAGCCATCGGCGTGCCACTGGCCGCTTGCCGCGTTTCGCAAAGTTCCGGCGGTTTTAATTGTGGAGTGAAGCGGACGTTCTCAGAAGCTGTTCTCGTAAAAACAAAAACCGCTGCTGCCTGAGCCAGGTGTTCCCTCAATCAAGTTCTCTCGGAGCCGTTTTTAACAGCTACGTTCCCGTGCTCCGCTCGGCAGGTTTGCGGGGCGAGCGAGAGAGAGGGTGGGTAGTGGGAAAAAAAGAATGAACCACAGGCACGGTTCACCTTTGACCTTTAGTGCCGGCTGGGAGCCGCCCTCCCAAGCCTTGGGGCTGCCCCCAATCGACCGAGGTGAATGAATGTCGCGGGTTTTGTGGAAGTGATCCAAAGGAGTCTCTCGGAGTTGGTGTAAAATGTGGAAAACGCTGCTCCACAGGTGTTCAGAGCCCTGCGCACCACGGTCACTGGAGTCGTCCGTACAGAAAGTTTTGACATTTCGGGGTGGGGTTGGGAAAGTTTCCATTGGATCACGACGACCGCACCACCGTAGCCCCCACCCCCACTGAAGCTTTGGCTGGAACCGGAACCCCCGCGGGCCTCGCTCGGCCAGCGTCGTCGCGGTGTTGCTGGCGGTGCCGTTGGGGATTTTCCGCGTTCGGATCCGGCGTTTCACTGTGCAGTTGCCGGGAGAGTTGTCTCACTCAGACCGTCATCGATCCTCGGGTTGATGAAAATATGAGTGCCACTGTGGGAAGTCAAAAATGTAATTTTCCGTTGGGTGCAGACCGGTCCGTGCGCCATGTGACGTGGAATTTCCAACGGCGGCTCGAGGGCCTATCCTCTGATAACTATTCACTTCACGTGGAGTCCACGTTGACTTCTTCATGGTGACTGCCCAGTTTCACCGACATCGTAACGACAACGATGCCAGTCAGTTACACAAACTCCCGAGAGACTGGGTTTGGGATGCTGTTACAGAAACACTAAACTAAACGAAAACTCTTTTTTATTTGACCAGGTAAGGCCCACTGAGCTACATAGCTCTTTTTTTCAGAAGCCACCTGGCCACAAATGCAACCTCAACGAAGTAGATTATCATCACGTGGAAATGTATAGCAGCCAAATACTCTAAACGCATGATGTTGACTCTAAATGTGGAGGGTAAAACCGGAGGACGCGGAGAAAAATCCACGCGACCAGGGGGAGAGAGAGAGAGAGAGACGCAAACTCCAAATATGCAGCAGCAGGGGTCGGGATCGAACCGGCGACCTCCTGTAGACCAGGCGAGGTAGTGAACATCTCCTAGCCACCGTGGTTCTCTCCAGCTCCAGGCATGTTGCATGAGAGTGCTGCTCGGTAATGTTGCCACTTGAGGGACCTTGCCATTGATGCAGTGGCATGTGGAATAGCCCCTGTTTAGTGTTGCGTGTCCTCCTCGCTACTGCGATTATTTGTGCAGTGTTGACGGGGAAGAGGGGGGATTGTGTTTAATGACTACAAAACGAATTGTACATTAGACGGTGTTGTTGTTGGGAAATCACGCAAATATCGTTGGGAAATCATGCAAATATCGTTGGGATCTGTTGATTTGACAGAAATTTATTTAAACTGGGAAAAAATATTTTTGATCGAGAACCAAAAAGAAAAATTGCTGTAGAGCCGTTAAGCGGCTTATCTCTAGGTTTACGGTCGCTGGGCATTTTCTTTTGTATGGTTTCCGTTTTAGTTCACAACTGGAAAGTGTGGGGAAAGATATCACTGGTGGTTTTATGCAATGTATCCATATTGTGGCGTCGGGTTCGGACTGTACATACTGTATGCTATGCCGTATGCTGGGATGCCTGATGATTAGCAGGCGAGCGCTTGCCACGCCCTGTACATTGAATGTAAAGTACACACCGCGCGCGCGCACACACACACACGAGTATTTTGCTGGTATGACAGTGTTTATTTTATGGAAAAAGCATGTTTAATTTTTTAAAGGAAAAAACTCACAAAATCGAGATTCTGGAAGCCAAGCAGCACGATAATTGACCCTGAATTTTCCGTCACGCAAAAATCACATTCCGGGTCTATCCGTGTGCAACGTCTCTCAGCCCAGTGAGTCACAAACCTGCCACGCGTCGGTCGTCTGGCTTTGACGAAATGACGTCTCCCTCTGCTGCAACATGCTCATCCAAGCCTTGCTCCGTCGCGCCAAATTGCCGACGCGTCGTCCGGCGGCAGTGACCACGCCGCCCGTTTTAATTGGCAAAACGTCAAACCGTAACCTGGTTACTTCTTTGGTTCTTTCGGTAAAGTCACGCGTAGAAAATAAAATTAAATAATATTTTCTACGTGACTTTAACGAAAGAACGAAAGAGTAATTCCTGCAGTCACGAAAGCTTTGAATCTCGCTTGTAATCTGGTTGTTGTTGCGGCTCCTTTCGGAGACGAAGCCGTCTGTGTCGTCCGCCCCGGACGATCCCCACGGTGGCCACTCAGCCACCGGGCTGACGGCCCTCGGCCTCCTTTACCAATTCACTTCCGAGTGTCACCACGCCGTGGTATACGCGCGGCGGTCGCGTGTCCCCGATATCTAAACGCACGGGGCTTTTAGACACCGTGCGCTCTGGGCCAGCATCGCACGGCGCATCCGGCTGCGTCAGGCCTCTCGCCTCGCACGCACGGCCGTTCGGGTCCCGGGAGGGGAGGGGAGCACACGCGCGGCTTGTGCCCCGTTACACAACCGACAGAAACCTGCACGGATTTCCTAGGACGGCGACCTCCTCGACAAGGGGACAATCCTGAGAAACCGGGGCTGGTGGCAACCACACGCGTGACTCCGCCGTCTCTCGGCGTTGTTGGGGCCGGCGTGTTGGTGGCTCGCGCGTGCGGTGTGACATGTCACCCTGTTCCTCAAGCGTGGGTGGCACGTGGCACGAGACGTCACAATTGAAAAGGCAGCTGCTGTTTTTGTTGTTTGAGGCTCAATTTGGGCTCCTGTTTTTTTTTTTTTCCGGGAGTTGAAATCACCTTCAAAAAAACAAGGAACAATTTCAGAGGCAAATTTTTTTTTTACTCTCACAACAACCGCACCGGCACGGATTCTGGCTTTTGCCAAAACCCCCAAATTCGGCGCGCACTTCCTGGCTCGTGAGCTGGGCGACGACGCCGTCGGCTCGATCCGAGCGGGGGGGTGGGGGCGGTTGGGGGGGGGGGAGTCGTGCGATGATGCGACGGCGCGTGACGGTGGCCAGGACTCCGAGGGCACCGGAGTTTGGACGTCTCTGCTTTCCCACAACGCGGGTAAACAGCGGTCGACACACTTGGCCCGCGAGCACCGCCGCCTGCCCAGCCGTGGCGCGGCGCAGCAGCCGTCGCCCCACAACAAAAAACAGTGGAGCTCAGCGCTTCCGCTGCCAAAGACTTAAAAGCGGACGCGTCCGACATTTTAAATAAAGTCGGTGCCACTGCGGATTTCCTGCAGCGCAGTTCGCGGGCAGCGGTCCCGACAGCGGAGTCGCACACACACACTCACACAGGACTTACTCACACAGGACTTACTCACACACATGGGACTTACACACTCACTCACATGGGACTTACACACTCACACGGGACTTACGCAGACAAAGAACCCCCATATAGCCTTAACAAACTGTTAGGCAAGTGCTATTAGCGAGCGCACACACACCCGACTTAGGGACTTACCCACGGGGCACACACACACGGGATGCACACAAAGACAAAAATCCCCCGTAGACTGTTGGGGCGAGTGCTGTAAGTGAGCTCCTTGAAGACCTGCATTGCACACCATGGAGTGGGTGACCGGCATCACGTCCGGCCACCTTTGTCTCCCTAGTGGCAATGTTTGCACACCGCACCAAGTACTCATTTGAGGCTGAGTCGACCTAGAGGAAGACCCAGGACCGGTTTAGATATTGTCACTGGTGTTGGCCGTGAACGGGAATCGAACTCGGGTTGCCAGGTTCAAAGCGCAGCGCGCTAACTACGATACAACCGCTCCCCACTACACTACCGCACACACACAGGACTTGTACATACACATATGGGACACACGCAGGAAGGTGGCGTAAATTCGCCCCATCGCCTGTGTGGGATGACTCGTGTGTGTCGCTGTACCCACGCGTTGCTACGTCGCTGTACCCAAGCATCGCCACGTTGCTCTATCGTCATCACCGTGTCGTTTGTTGTCTCGCTCGGCACGTGCGGCTCCGTAACGTCCAACGTTTTTGCTCAACGTGCTGGCAGCGTTTTCATGAACCGGATTCTTTCGGGCATCGTGCCCAGTGGCACGTCCCAGCACCCCTGCAGAGTTCACTTTCTGAAGGTACGCCCAGCCAGCACGTGGGACTGAATTGTCACACTGACAAAAACCGGGACTGATTTCCCAGGATGGTAACCACCACCACCACCTCGTCGTCACCAAGAGGACGATGCTGAGTCCACCACCGCGTAGCGGCACCAACCAATCGGAGAGCCGTGCAGCGCACGTGGCCGTGGCGACGCGACGGGGGTCGAGTTCTCTCGTTCGCGTTGGGGTGAATCCCCTCTCGGCTGCGAGTCCACCCCCGTGCTCGCCCCGGGGGGGGGGGGGGTCGTGGCGTGGGGCCCCGTGTACAAACTGCGCTCACCTGCCCTCAATGGCTTTGCTTTCCTGTCCAGGTAAACGCAGTCTTCTTGGCGCGCCTTGAACTCCGTAATAAATAAAGCAAAGCAAATACGTTTCACATCTCGTGTGTGTGTGTGTGGTGTGTGTGTATGTGTGTAGTGGGGAGCGGTAGTGTTGCGGTTCGCGCGCTGCGCTATGAAACCGGCGACTCGAGTTCGATTCCCGCTCACGGCCAACACCAGTGACGATTATCTGAACTGGTCCTGGGCCTCCCCTAGGTCGACTCAGCCTCAAATGATCACCTGGTGCGGTGTGTAAACATCGCCACTGGGGAGACAAAGGCGGTCGGGTGTGGTGCTTGACCACCCACTCCCTCGTGTACCGTTCCGGCCTTCATAGTTGCTCGCTAACCGCATTTGCCCCTCCAGTCTGTTAAGGCTATAATACGGGGGCTTTGTGTGTGGAGTGTGTGGTGCGTGGGGAAGCAGTGGTGGCGTGATTAGCGCCCCGCACCACAAACCGAGTCGCACGAGTTAGATTCCCGCTCACGGTCAACATCGATGGTGAATATCTAAAACGGTCCTGGACTGCCGATCGGTGAGCTTTAATCGAGTACACCTGGTACCGTGTGGAAAAACATCAGCACTGGGGAGACCGGCGGCTGAGCGTGTTTTTTGCCGACCGCACCACCTTCTTGTGCACCATTCCATCCTTCGTGGGTGACTGGGGTTCAATCCCTGGCCGCGCACTAAATGCCAGTGCCAAGCGGTAATGTGGAGCTGCCTGCGGCGACCTGTGGTCGAATGGACCCTCGAGTCGCTTGCTGCACCTGTCGCAGCGACGTATCCGTCTGTCGTGAGCGACTTCCGAGACACAACGTGTAGAGGGCTTCTTATTTATTCTCACACTCCGGGCACAATCACTGGGTGACAAATATACATCCACAGCTACGCATAGCTGACCCATCCACACAACCCCATCGTCGGCGTCTAACTATATAGCTGGCTGACTAATGTAGGGGGGACGACGATGGGAGCTGTGCAGAAGATCGGCCACGAGGCCGAACGACGACGAGACAGCGACGGCAGCCAAGACCCGGGATCGCACGACAGCCTCGAACCCTCGATCACACCCCCCTTATATACTTTCCGCCGTGACCAGGCCCCGCCTCCGGCCACGCCCACTTCCAGAACCTTCGAGCAGGTTCCCGGAGCTTCCTGACTGACCCCACCTTTAACCTTTAACACAGACACGCCCCCTTCTGGTTGGTTATTATATAACGCACCCATACTCGTCATTACCCCTCCTGGTCAACAGATGGCACCCTGTCATTACACGAAGCCGGAGCTGCGTTCACTGGGCAGAGCGCTCCAGAGCGATTTTCCATTGAACGACCTCTTGTCAGCTCGGGGAGGCATCCTCAGCAGAGGCTTGACGGTCCGAGGAGCTGCCTCGGCTGAGCGTTTTTAGTGGTGCGTGTCAGATCATTTCAAGTTGGCGAACAGTCACTGTCGATGCAGCGGGCGTTCTCGTTTTGGTCGTTTAGCATCCGTCCATCTCGGTTAGGTCATCGATAGCAAGAATGCAAAAAACTTCTCCGCA